TATATTTTTGATGAATACTATGAATGAGCGATAATCATATATTTAAGACTTACTAGTACTAGGTCTTATTCCACAGTCTGCACAATCTGTGCCATAGTCACAATGGCTGTAATGAGATCCTTCACCACCATCATCACAGTAACCATTATGAGGGTATACACAGGTGTCAGTACACAATTCCACTTGAATTATGAAAAAAAGAACACTCTCGTAAACTTAAGCTTGTATATTGGAGCATATTATTATCGAGAAAACTAGATTTGGCAATGAACAAATTAATATATATGATTTCAAATGTATTCGTTATGGCATTATAATACAGTAAAACGTTACAGTAAGATAATTACTATCGTTATTGTGAGATTTATGCACTCGCATTAATAATTTTTGCAACCGGCACATAGAATGATCCGTTTGTAAGTGTTATAAAATTGTATATTTTTTATGATTACTATGAATGAGCGATAATCATATATATTCAAAACTTACGAATATTAGATCTCATTCCACAGTCTGCACAATCTGTGCCATAATCACAAATACTGTAATGTATATCACCACCATCATCACATATACCATCATTAGGGTATTTACAGGTGTTATTACATAATACAGCTTGAATTATGAAAAAAAAACACTACCTTAAACTTAAGCTTGTATATTGGAGCATATTATTTAAATAAGTATATCGAGAAAACTAGATTTGGCAATGAACAAATTAAAAAAATTATATATGATTTCATATGTATTCGTTATGGCATTATATACAGTAAAACGTTACAGTAAGATAATTACTATCGTTATTGTGAGATTTATGCACTCGCATTAATAATTTTTGCAACCGGCACATAGAATGATCCGTTTGTAAGTGTTATAAAATTGTATATTTTTTATGAATGAGCGATAATCATATATTTAAAACTTACTAGTACTAAGTCTTAGTCCACAGTCTACACAATCTGTTCCATAGCTACATACACTGTTCCGAGATCCATAACCACCATCATCACATACACCATCATTAGAATATGTACAGGTGTGAGTACAGAATCCGGCTTGAATTATGAACAAAGCACACTCTCGTAAACTTAAGCTTCTATATCGGAGCATATTATTTAAATAAGTATATCAAGTAAAATAGAT